AGTTAGAATATTTTTTCAACAACTCATGCTTGTCCTAAGAGGTGATGCATGTTATGGTATCCGAAATGCTTGATTCGATGCTCATGATATCAATCGTTTGATTGCCTGGTCCAGACTCTAATATAATATATCTCGTCATATAACTGGACTATTGCTCAGTGCGGCGTTAAATAAACAAACAAACAAAGCTAATTACAGCTGATCCTATAGTGGTGAAGGGACACAACTCTACCCAGCGACTTCTGACGCCTTGGATCCCTGGCCGGTCGTGCTCCTACACACTGTGTAAAAGAGTAAAATCGATGTCAATGGAACGTGAAAGATGCGTACGTAAAAGGAGTCCACGATGCTTTGGTTGACCGGTGTAAACTGTTTCTGACAGGACTGAGTGGATATTGAAAACTGTCACTGTAGTAATCCGTCCCGGGAAGAAAAGATTTAAAGCAAGAAACTGCTCCATTTGTGGACCAGTTAACATAAATGACGGAGTATGTGAGTGACAACTGGATGAATGGAGTGTAGTCTGTTGTTTCATGCCGCAATTACGGTGCTAGGGTAGCCTGGTGGTTGAAGCGGTCGCTCGTCACGCCGAAGACCCGGTTCGATTCCTCACATGAGTACAGTGCGTGAAGCCCATGTCTGGTGTCCCCTGTCGTGATATTACTGGTTGCTAAAAGCGGCGAAAATTCTTACTCACTCAACTACGGCTTGTAAATAATCGTGTCTGGACAGGAAACATACAGTGATTGATATTATGAGCACCATTTTTGTTATTTGATCGATTGTTGCCCAAACCTCTCTCAACAATATTCCAGCTATTTGACGGCTGCCTGTAAACAAACGAGTCTGAACAAGAAAATCGGGTGATTGATATCTCGATAAGCGTTCTACGCAGAGGGGGTACGATAATATACACCCACCCTCGTCACGGAGCCCGACCCCCGGTCCATTAAACTGTACTGTCGACAAACATGTAGGTGGCTGGGGCTGTTATAGCCTGGAATCCTCACGGGGGATAGAATGTAGAATGGCATAATTGACGACACACATATGGAATAATTGAGAAGCTTAAATCGCGAGTGAGTTTATTTTGTGCCGCTTTGTTGAGGATTTCCGTAACATCACGGCGTGATATGGGGGGGGGGGGGGGGGGGGGGGGGAGCTCCAAATGTCGCAGGTCTTCTGTGTAAACCCCTAAGACACCCTTGAACACGGATATGGTGCTGAAAAACACAAGAAAGCTACGCAGGGCGAATCGATGATCCATAATTAAAGGATCAGGTTACACCTAGGAGAGGCAATTCACCTGTGCCCTCAATAAATGCGTGGTGGTGAGGTGAAATGCGGTGTAACGTCGCGTTCAAGATTATTGCACTTTCATAGCAACGCCCGCGCGCCCGTGTCTGTGTGTCTGTGTAGGCTTGTACTAGTCCATACTAGTTCCGGTTTTGAACATCTTTCTGAGGCAAGTGAGTTAACCTGACTATAAAAGTCCAGTTTCCACCCTTGCCGAACTAGGCTGGTATTATGGAGTTACATTTTGGCTGGACTAACGAGTCTATGCATAGTCCAATCATAATCGCGCACCGAAATCGAAATCCGGTTCGTAAAGTGTCATGCAGATTTCGGTCGACTGCAGGATTTGCAAAACATGTGCACCGCTAACTCGTTGTCAACAGATATTTTCTAAATCTTTTCATGTTTTTAATCAAGGTGCTCACGTGATTTGATGCACTTCGCGATGTAAGACTCGTTTTATCACAATATAGATCTTGATTATCGATCAGATCGTCTTGACTAGGCGCCACCGTTTTGTCTGAAGCAAATGCAAGTGATACGAGAGGTTGAATCTGATTGGCCAGTAGGAGAGGCATAGAAAGGACATAACTCGCAATAGCCACTGGTGGCGCTACGATCGAGCCAAGGAATTCCAGCCTAGTTCGGCAAGGGTGGAAACTGGACTTTTAAAATCAGTTAACTCTCTTGCCTCGGGAAGATGGTTTTGAAGAGCTAACCATGAAGACACCATGCCGCAGTTTAACAGGGATGTCCCGTGTAGACACCGTATATTGATTCCCAGACGACCAGTGCTTGTTTTATCCCTTCAATGCCGAGCGCCAGGCAGGGTAACAACAAGTCCCATCTTTTAACGTCTTTTGGTATGACGCGGCCGGGGATCGAACCACCGACCTCCCGCTCACCGGGCAGTCTCACGGTTGTAACAGTAAACAGCGGGGCCATTATACATGGACAACAAACCCGTCGTGATGTTTGGTGGGGTAATCTGGAGGCTAAAGCGTTCGATCGTCACGACTAAAACCCAGTTCGATTTCCCACAAGGGTGCAATGTCTGAAGCCCATTTCTGGTGTCCCCCGCCGTGATGTTACTGGAATACTGTAAAAATCGACGTAAATCCATACTCACTCACTCACCCATCAAACAAGCGAGTATTTACTACCCAACTCAGTTTGCACATTTGGAAATCTTATACACTAGACATGATATCTCTTGACATGGCTCAGATATCACTGGCGCTCACCCGCTCTTTTAAATCACTCGTTATAATACGGACACCCCGTAACTCCGGACCATTTATTACTCCACTGATAGGGATATGTTCATCTTTCCATGATACTCAAAACTAATTCTCATACCATGTCGAGTGTATATTTAAATAGAATGGCATATCTTATTATCCCTATCAGTCGTAGTACCATAGTAGTATATAAACACGTTTGCCATATTATTTGTTTGGAGTGAGTGACAACATCGTTTTTAACATTATTCCACCAGAAAACAGGTTTTTCACGCATCGAACCCACGTGCGGATTCGAACCCGGGTCTTCTACCTCATGCACTGACGATTTAACCACTGGGCTACCCCACTGCACATTGGTGGTCATGGCGGCGGGCTTGCATGGCTTACTGTCAGCTGTTTGATTAATATAAAAAAACAAAGAACACATCTTGATACAAGTAAAGTTTAATCAAAGTGGGTCACTACATAACAAGTTAAGGTTTAACATTCACCAGTGTATAATGTCCATGTGTTTCACCAGTGTATGATGTCCGTGTGTTTCATCAGTGTATAATGTCCATGTGTTTCACAAGTGTATAATGTCCATGTGTTTTACAAGTGTATGATGTCCATGTGTTTCACCCGTGTGTAATGTCCATGTGTTTCTCCAATGTATAATGTCCATGTGTTTCACCCATGTATAATGTCCACGTGTTTCTCCAATGTATAATGTCCATGTGTTTCACGAGTGTATAATGTCCATGTGTTTCACCAATGTATAATGTCCACGTGTTTCTCCAATGTATAATGTCCATGTGTTTCACCAATGTATAATGTCCATGTGTTTCACAATGTATAATGTCCACGTGTTTCACTAATGTATAATTTCAATGTGTTTCACCAATGATAATGTCCATTTGTTTCACCAGTGTATAATGTCCATGTGTATGACCAATGTATAATGTCCATATGTTTCACCAGTGTATAATGTCCATGTGTTTCCCCAGTGTATAATGTCCATGTGTTTCACCAGTGTATAATGTCCATTTGTTTCACCAGTGTATAATGTCCATGTGTTTCACCAATGTATAATGTCCATGTGTTTTACCAATGTATAATGTCCACCTGTTTCACCAATGTATAATGTCCATGTGTTTCACTAATGTATAATGTCCACGTGTTTCATCAGTGTATAATGTCCATGTGTTTCACCAGTGTATAATGTCCACGTGTTTCACCAATGTATAATGTCCACGTGTTTCACCAATGTATAATGTCCACGTGTTTCACCAATGTATAATGTCCACGTGTTTCACCAATGTATAATGTCCACGTGTTTCACCAATGTATAATGTCCACGTGTTTCACCAATGTATAATGTCCATGTGTTTCACTAATGTATCATGTCCATGTGTTTCACTAATGTATAATGTCCACATGTTTCACCAATGTATAATGTCCATGTGTTCCCGCATACAGAATCAGCGACCGCGGGTAGAAACAGCCGAAGCCAACACATATTTGCATAAACCTGTCCCTTACAGCATGTCAGGTCCCGATAAACTCCACCCTCGATTGTCCAGACTCTTATGCCGCTATTCCATCGTGATAAATACCTTGGACCCCTTCGCAACCATAGCGGAAGTGACGTCACCACCGCCATCGCTCCTATCTGTAGCTCAGCATGGAATCTCACTCGTCCACAAGAGTAATTTGACTATTCTAATGCGTCGTGCATTCAAATCGGGGTGTAATTAAGCTGTGGAAGCGAGTGGGCCCAATGTATTAATTAATGGGTGGGAAAATAATACCTAAGACTATCGAGGATGGTAAGATCCATATGAACTTAACATGTTCACTCTGAACAAGGGATTCACTGAAGTGATGGAAAAATAGTCATAAATATTCATATTATGAATAATCAAAGTCAATCGTATCTCCCATTGTCCTATATTCCTCATATTTTGAGGGCAGCCCACACGTTAGACCATGAAATATATCATGTACTAAAATTTTATCACAGCTCGATTTAAAATCTATTTTTTAATTCAGTTTTTAAGTTTGATCCGTCATTTCCAATCTCGACCCAAGGCCATTGTTTTAAATGCCTTCGACGTAGAAAGAAAGGTCAATCAGTGGACCCTGGATAGCAGATTGTTAGCCTTTTACCATATATCTCTATTTGTTACCAAAATCACATACAAATTAAAATGAAGATAACATACACTTACTTCCCATTTATCTTTAAGTAATTATGCACATGAGATGTGTTATGATGATGATGACGACGACGACGATGATGATCATAATAATAATAATAATAATAATAATAATAATAATAATAATAAAGTGGGTGTAGCAGGGCTTATGAAAATGCTGTGATAGTCGTAATTATACTAAGCATTGCACCTTATTATTACTATTATTATTATCATTATTATCATCATCATCATTATTATTATTATTATTATCATTATTATTATTGTCAGTAGTAGTAGTAGTAGTAGTAGTAGGTCTTATCATATTGCTATGACAGTCTTACACTCAGCATTACACCACTGCCTAATCTAATTTGCATACCACGTGACAGGACGTTTCTCCTCTTTGTAAACAAACACGCTAACACTGAAATCAGAGCAGTTCTTGCCAATGGAATTATTTCAGTGATTTCAGACTGCTTTGCATAATCATAAACATATCCCACGTTAACTGCGACAGCAAGGATCGCGAGGGTGTGTCTTTACACATCCCTTGAATAACACGGCTTACAGTGTCCTGACTCCTCACTGGTCTGTAGCAGAGAGACAAGGAGGGGGATTCTTACTCTCAAATAACAACACAGACTTGCACGTGTCGATACCCCGCAATATCCAACACATTTATACAAAGCGAAACATTGCAGTGTTGTTCTTTTCATGAAATGTATGTGCTGCGGTTTATTGAGAATATGCATGGATTATTTAAGAGTTAAAAAGGATATCTACAAAAAAAAAGTATCATAGTCGAACCTCATGAATCTGGACAAACCGCAATCGGCATCAGTATCGAGCGGGTGAACGGGTTTCTGTAAAGGAGCTTATTCAAGTGTCGAGTGAAACCCCGTTTATCCGGTCGGTACCGTTGCGAGCCACAGCGATATTATTACCAAATCAATTTCTATCTTGAGTATACTTACATACGTTTCTATCGGCAATCGCCCGGATATCGGGTTTCTGTCCTATCGGGGGTTCACTGTACAAACCCGATAGTTATTGGATAAACAACATCCCGACTAACGAAGTTGGGTCTATACAATTAGTCACTGAATTATGTAGCAGTTCCCATTTAAACACACACAACGTCACATTTAAAAAGATATGCATAAATACACGGTAATGTGCAAGAAAAAGTACAACTGTTCAATTGGTCCTTTAAGGACCCGGATGAGAATGAAACCACGCATGTCCAAACTGTGAGTTGAGTGATCGGGCTGTGTACATCTTACTCCGCCCTTTTGGAAAAGAAGTGCGCCTAGAACAATCTTCATGGCTCAAGTCCGGCTTGAAAAGGTCGCCTTTCTTTGGCAATTGTGAAAATGGTTTCTGCGAAGATGAGGTATGAAACAGGCAAGTTCGCACAGCGACATGGATGGTTGGTTCGAAATTCGTTCACCCGTAGCCAAATTGATCACCAGCCTCGGCGTTCTTGACGCTGTATAAGTTTTGTCACAATCAATTTTTTCCCAGGCCAACGGTCCTTTTTTTGTTTGCACGAAGGCAACTGATGTAATTTTGATCGCATCATTTCTGTTAATAAACCTCTCATCTGGTCTAGAAATGATTTTACTGCATTCGTACATTTGTCATTTTTTGAGCTGGAAAACATTCTTTATCCGTTTCAGCAAACCAAGTTCCTAATTTTTGCTATTCAATTGTCTTTTTCCGGGTTATATCCCGAGGCTTGCCAAATGTTGCCTCGCTTTGAGACGTAAATCTGCAATACTTGAGTTCTTGGCGGACCGGAAGCTGCTATCCGGAAGTGCGGTGTAGTTGAGGGCAGCGAGGTGGTGATGATAAAGAAGCATCGGGTGAATTGGATGTTGAGAGGCGCTAGCGGCGGCAGCAGCAGCAGCGGCAGCAGCGGCGGGATGGAGGGGTAGAAAGGGGTAGAATGGTGGATACGGCAGTCTCTCAATCCCGGGTTCTCGCACATGGGGAAGATTCATGAAGGGGGCGACTCGGCACGGGTCTAGGGGGGTACCTTGAGACTGCATTAGAAGACCGGCTGAAATAAACAGACATGGACGTCAACAACAGATACAGACTAATATATTAACAATAAGGTAAACATGCTAAAACTGATATACACCGTGAGAGCAGGTCGCGGGTGTCGATGTAGAGTGTGTGTGTGTGTGTGTGTGTGAGAGAGAGAGAGTCGAAGTGAGTGTGTGGTGTGTGTATATGTGTTTGTGTGTGAGAGAAAGAGACACACAGAGAGAGTGGGACTGTGTGTGTGTGTGTGTGTGTGTGTGAATGGCTAATCATCTGTCATCTGAGAGAGAGAAAAAGAGAGAGAACAGGTCGTGCGTGCGTGCGTGCGTGCGTGCGTGTGTCTACTTGTACTTGTCCGGACAAATGCCAACTTTATAGTGCTAGCCCACTGAGATACTATGCTGCAGGCGACTCTGAACCGACCATTGCTTTATTGTCTTAATGCCGCGCCAGGCAGGGTAACAACACCCCGGGGTAGCAGGGTGACATCTGTTATACTTTTGAGTCTCATAGGTCATGGGGGTCGGGTATTCGAGCAAACACACCCGCATAACACCTTTGAACTTTGTGTTGTACAATGTGTGACGCTCCCATTAAGTCCCCCCTCCACTTCTTCTCTATTGTGCTGAGCCCCTTTAAAATCACATTCGTACATCACTACACTTTGTAAAGGTAAATAAATAGTGTTTGAGATATCGTGTTATCTTAGCATATCGTATGCTATTTTGTGGAGTTGATCTTTCACTATAATTGATTTCTTTCAACAGTGTGTGTATGTGTGTGTGTGTGTGTGTGTGTGAGAGAGAGAGAGAGAGAGAGAGAGAGAGAGAGTATGGGTGTGTTTATGAATGTGCGTGTCTCAGTATGTGAGTACGTATGTGTGTGTGTGAGAGAGAGAGAGAGTATGGGTGTGTGTCTGAGTTTCTGTGTGTGTGTGTGTCTGAGCGAATATGTGTGTCTGAGTTTCTGTGTGTGTGTGTGTGTGTGTGTGTGTGTGTGGAGGGCTAATCATCTGTCACGCCCCAACATCTTCGTCAATATATCCAGAATGATTATTACTCCATCTACGATTCCCCCCTTGTAGTACCCACCCCTTGTCCAAACCATATCCACACAATGCCCTTATAGCTCCATGCCTCCACGATCACCCGGGCTCGAGCCACCACTTAGTTTCAACTCCCTCATGTTGTGATGTTCCAATATTAGCGGACCCTCGACATTATACTGTTTGGTAGTGTTCCAATGGTTTTATCTCCTTCAGACCACGCCGCGAAGTCTTTCACACAGAACCACGGCAATAAAACTATAATCCTCCACTGATTATTACACCCTGATTCCTCCGAAACAGCAAATACAGGAAAATTACAGTAAATATTGTCAAATTTACTCCCTTCATTTGAGCAGCCCTCACAATTATTGGACATGGTTGGCCATTGTAGTAAAGCCCTAATTGATTCTAGGAGGGGTTTTATTTAGTGATCTATCATAAAACCCGCGCTATCGTCCTAATTGAAGTGTCGCCAACTGTTTACCGCCCGTGTCTAAGATTATGATAGCTAGTGAGAGTCATCGCCTCGTGTCAGCAATTGTATTCGTCTATCCCAACAACTGATTCCAATCCGACAACTCGACATCCCCTATGTTGGGCTAATTCGTTCAATTGCTCCCCCTCAACGCCGCGGAGCCATACTTCGCAATCGTCAAAAATAAAAATGTACGTTTCGGCTTTATAGAGGGGAAAGGGGTCAATTTTTGAATGAAAGAAATTTGAAAATGTGACCTGTATCCGATGATCTCTGATGATCAAATATTTAACAAAACTCATTCATCAAGCGACGAGACACGCCGAACCAAAGATCATCCTCGCGTAGCGGGGAAAATAAACACTGGCTTATTGAAACTGGCGATGTTACTATTTGGCTCATCCAAGAGACACCCAGTAATTGCTTTATTAGATGGATAACACGACATTAAATGATACCATAGAGTACAAATTCAGCTCACCATGACAGTTTTCTCTTCGAATCTACTGATTAAACGGCGGGGATAAACTGGGAAGGGGGCACCGATGTCGCGTGTACAATTAGAGTCGGCAAATTGGAAAATTTCCGACGCGGCCCGGTTGTTTGTTCCGGAAAGATATGTTGTTATTTATGAGGATGCTCCAAAGAAGAGGCGGATCAATGCTCGTACTTTTCTTATCAACCAACTGCGCATGTCCCACAGCTGTTATAGGGACGAGGCGTATACCTATGTGACTTAATGGAACGGTCAGGTTTTAGTGGTTTAACACTTCATCACTTAACGCTGCGGCCATATAAGTCGGTCGATAATATAGAAGTGTATACTCTCAGTCAACGGCCTCAAAGTAAGTTATATGGTTACCGTGCGTCCTTATTAAGACTTCTCCAAAGGTCCGATTGAGATTAAAGCATTCGGCACAATTTATTTCGGATTCTTTCGGGATAGTTGGGATTTGATGATAAAAGAATAAAGATCTGTCTTAAGAGAATGTTGTAATGGTGATTATGTACACGAGTCCTGATGTACCCCGTAAATCATATTTACTTCTTAATAAAGCTTGATATTTATCTGTACGTTCGAGCCAGCAGAAATTACGGATTGTCCCGAGAGAATAAATTTTGTGACATGAGGCTTGGGTCTTTTTCACTCAGATCATCCTTAATTCTTCCCAGCTCGTTATTATCTTAGAGGTCAAAGTAGAGTTAAATATTATTCGTAAATATTCGAGAGTAGCCAAGCGACGATGTATAGTTGTGGCATTGATAATTGTAGCATGATGCAACGTTCCCTCTCCACTCAAATAAGTGTTTCGGAGATATTACTCAGCATACGTGCATAGCCTACATAGAATACGGCAAAGCTGGAGTATTAATATGGTTGTAGTGTTTAGAATTAACATCCCACACGTGATTACACGTGCACACATGGACCAGAGTACAGGAAGTGTAGGCCTGAATATTTAACCTTGAAACAGACAAACTGAACCAAAGTGTGACCTTCATGGAACGGGTAATATAGATCCGTTGTAAGTTTAACTTGCATTGGTCGTTTCGGAAGTGAAATTGATCGATCAATTGATATGTATAGGATTTATATAGGACACGTGGTGCTCGAAGCATAATATCATTACTGGGGTGCTTTTGCCGCCTCCGTGGTCTTGTGGTAGAGCGTCCGCCCGGAGAGCGGAAGGTCCGGGGTTCGATCCCCGGCCGCGTCATACCAAAAGACGTTAAAAGATGGTACTTGTTGTTACCCTGTCTGGCGCTCGACATTAAGGGGCTAAAACAAGGACTGGTCGGCTCGGAGTCAGTATACTGTGTCTGAGTGGGGTATTCATGTTAACTGCGGCATGGTATCTCAGTGAGCTAGCACTATAAATCGGACTATAGTCCGGACTAGTACAAGCAGCCACACACACACACACGTGCATGCACGTCGCTATATAAGTGCAATAATCTTGGACGCGACGTTAAACCCAATTTCACCTCACCTCACAGGGGTGCTTTTAAAAGTCACCCATTTCTCAAGTGTATCGCACAACAGCACACACTAGTATACCGAAACAGACAAGGGAGCAGTACACAAACGCCCACACGTCCAGACGAACGGGAAATAATGCGTGACAGCTGATCGCCTATTTCCTTTCTACAAGTAGGTCTTTTGAAATGGACATCGAAACACTGTATAAGCCTGACCGACTGCACTCCAGCGCCTATGTCCTAACTCGATGGCCATTAGTACTTGAAATAAACTTCAAAACATATAACATTCGTTCAAACTATTTAGCTGTTTCCAAAGTGATTTTTTTGTTTTAAAGAGAAAGCCTCTCTTTCAGCGTAGAGCTAAATAGGCTTTCAGTTCTCGCCGCCCATATATTTTAACACCGAATTAATGATTCTATTAATTTGAACTCTTATCTTATTCCGAGTCTCCTTTTTCTGCCTAGAGTTTGTTGTCATTCCGAACCAACTTCTTATCGCGTAGCCTACCTATCGTGTTTTAAGCATGAACACTTAACCAAATTAACAATTAACCGTTTTTGTCCTAAACCGTAAAACTATACTTCAAATTGAAACTTCCTTTTTTCGATTCAGCTAACCCGCTGCTACTTGATCAAATAAGCTTCTTATTTCAATAAACTTTCTCCCAAGAAACTTCTTTACTTAGCAGAACCGGGCGTTTGTGGACGTCGATAATTTGAACCCGGTTCAGACAGGGGAAAAAACATCTTCGCCACTAAATTAACTGTGTTAACAGAAGCGGCATTTAGTTGCCAAACGGGGTGAACAAAGCGTTTCCACGTTTCCATTTCGGTTTTCCCTGAAGCCCTGGAAGGAAGCCTATTGTAGCCAGTTCGGTATTGTCCCCTCCGATGCCATGTCACGCCTGGTGACCCAACCACTGGGCTAAGTAATCGAGTCTCTTTTTCTTGTCCCAAAGCGGGCATTTGAAATGGCGCGGGAAGTATCGAGGATCCTCCAAGAAAATTAAATAAAGATGAACTGTTTTGCGTTAATTTGGGCAATCAACCCACGAGGGAGAGGACGTCACTTCGCAACGCTTTCAGCCATCAGCCCCAGCAATAGCTGTGGTACCCTCAATTAGCCGAATATATCACCCAAATTAAATTAATTAAGATAGTATGGTCGCTGAATGCTTAACACAAGGTTAATGGGAGTCGCCAGGCCTTTGACAGTATTTTTCAGCCTAATTTGATTAATTTGTAAAATATTCATTAAAACAGTAGCCAATTTGGACGGAGTTTAGGCTCTATGGGTGATCTTCGTCTAGGAAGGGGCCGTTGGATTTCCTTGACAAACTTGCAGCTCACGCGCTCGTTCGGTTATCGCCTATCATTTCCCCGTCCGAGACGACAATTGTTTGTGACCCGCACCGCCAATCTCTTTGATGCCGAAATAAGACCTGAAATTCTCAATTGAGGCAAAGATTCAAATTCGCACCAGTCTTCTAATCCCGACACATTAAATCAACCCGACTAATGTCGCTCCAAATCTGAACCGGGATTTATATTTTAAAAAGTCGTGAATTGTGATTTAATAAGAATCAATGAAAAAAATAAGAGAGAGGAGGGATAGAAATAACCTTTGAACATTAAAAAAAATGTATGGTAATTTGGGTTGAATCAAGTAATTATACGAGACAATGTATTGTAGATAACTCGTCTCTGTTTTTGTTGTAAAACGTCAATAGGTCGATAAAGGTCTTTGTCCCTTTCAGTAAGATGAACTATTTCGTATAATTGTATTAAACATTTTATATACAAACTATTCTTAAAACAACAGTTGCGTAAATAAAATACAAGAAATAATAAAATCTTCATAACAGGAATAGCTTCTTGTTTGTTTTGTTATCGTGGTGAAAGATAAACGTATAATATTGGTGTTAGGATTTGGAGTTAGAACAGTTTCACAGTAACACAATGCTGTAAGAGTTAGGATTTGGAGTTAGAACAGTTTCACAGTAACACAATGCTGTAAGAGGTGGCTGTGGATCGGATGGTTAGGTGACGTGGTTGTTTGCGTGTCATCGTGCTCTGACAGTGGAAATCGTTGCTTATAATATCAATCACTGGTTTGTTTGGTCTTGATAATGTACAGGCCGATGTCATGCAGCTGAAATATTGCTGTTTGTCCCATTAAACAACAAACAATGTCACGCCTACGATCTTTATCGTATATTGAAAATATGCACCAAGTTCCCCAACGTGTGTCGGAAGAGCTAACTGAAGAGTGGGTACATATAATGCTTGACCTGGACGATTGGGGGTCATCGTGCTCAGATAATGCGGGCTGTTGCCTAAGTCAGTCAACAAGCAACACAGCTGTTTTTTTTGTTTTGTTTTTTGTTTATTTGTTGTTTAGCAATGTTCCATTTATATTTATATAAAGGCGGTCAGAAAAGAAAAGAATCGAGTCTGGACCAGACAATCCAGTGATTGACATCATGATCATCGATACTTACAATTGGGATACGATGACATGCATCAACCAAGACAGCGAGTCTGACCACCCGATCCCGTTAGTCGCCCCTTACGGCAAACATGGGTTGCTGAAGACCTATTCTAACCCGGATGTTCATGGGTTACAAGCCACATTGATACAGCTGGAATATTTACAGCCCTCAACAAACAAAACATCACCTACTTTCTCCCTGACTCCCCATTCTCTCTGTGTCACTCTTTCTCTCTCTCTCTCTTACAATTCACTGTTTAGCTGTTGCAATATTAATATATATTATGTTGAACAGCATCATTGCCCATTCATTGAAACATATTTTGTTTGACGTGCTCTCTAGCAGGTACACGTGGGATACAAAATCTACCATGTCACTGATCAATTCATGAATATAAAATTTATGAGGAATTAATATAATAAACAGGTCAAATGATTCACACCTACCACAACGGAATTAACGCCACCTGGTGGCAACAAAAACTACAAAGGGGGATAATCTATTCATCCCTTGTATCAATTCCCTAAACTGTAAATTTCGCGACTCAATTAGTGTTCTTGATCGAAAGTGTCAACAGAAATCATCGCATCATCCATCAGGCGTCTGCAACTTAAATGTTCTTCCCTGATTTCATTAATGGCATTGTTTTCTTCTGCGCAGTCTTCAACACATTACCTTATTTGAAAGTCTCGCTTTCCCATCTCAATTACGGCGATTCATTTTTCGTGACTAGTAAAAACTAAAGACTTTGGGCTGACGGTATGATTCTAACGAGCACGGACATCAGGTACAGCTGAAGAACCAAGTCTCACGTTAACATAGTAGTTTTTAATGTTGAAGTAATTATATTCATCCAATGAGAAATTTGATTTAGGAATTGTTTTTCTGTGAAGTAATCTGGAACATTTTCTGTTTTCAACAGCATCCTTGAACATTCATTGCTATACTTTGCATTTTTTTTCAGGGCAATGTAGTTTGAAATAGGCATCTTAGAAAGGCACGGTTGCAGTAGATTTGATAAAATCTTAATAATTATATTTTGTAATTGCATGAACTGTCTGAGAGTGTAAATTGTTTGACGTAAAGCAAGTGTAAAGTGTCAGACGTAAAGAGAGTGTCAAGTGCACGACGTAAAGAGAATGTAAAATATTAGACGTAAAGAGAATATTAAATATTAGACGTAAAGAGTGTATAAAGGGCCAGACGTAAAGATAATGTAAAATATTAGACGTAAAGATAGTGTAAAGTGTAAGCCGTAAAGAGAATGTAAAATATGAGGCGTAAAAAGAGTGTAAAGTGTTAGACGTAAAGAGAATCTAAAATATTACACGTAAAGAGAATTTAAATATTAGACGTAAAGATAGTGTAAAGTGGTAGACGTAAAGAGTGTAAAGTGTTAGATGTAAAGAGAATGTAAAATATTAGACGTAAAGAGAATGTAAAATATTAGACGTCAAGTGAGTGACTAAGTATGGTTTAACGTCGCTTTTAGCAATATTCCAGCAGGGTCATCAGAAATGGGCTTCACACATTGTACCCATGTCGTAGACGTGGGGAGTGTAAAGTGTTAGACGTGGGGAGTGTAAAGTGTTAGACGTTAAGAGAATGTAAAATATTAGACGTGAAGAGAATGTTAAATATTAGACGTAAAGAGAGTGTAAAGTGTTGGACGCAAAGAGAGTAAAGTCGTTATTCGCCATAGTCGTCAGTGTTTTAAGGTGGAGTTACACAGACCGCCTCCGTGGTCCAGTGGAAGAGCGTCTGCCCGGAGAGAGGAAGGTCGGGGTCCACACCCAGCCGAGTAAAACCAAAATACATTAAAAGATGGTACTTATTGTTACCCTGCCTGGTGCTCAGCATTAAGGGGCTAAAACAAGGACTGGTCGGCTCGGAGTCAGTATACTGTGTCCGATTGGGGTATTCATGTTAAACGGCGGCATGGTATCTCAGTGAGCTAGCACTATTAAACTGTCATTAGTTCGGACTAGTACAATCAGACACACACACAGACACACACACGCGCGCCCGCATGCACGTCGCTATGTAAGTTCAATAATATAGAACGCGACGTTAAACCTCATTTCACCTCACCTCACCTAACCATTGGTCCAACAAGTAACTTACAAACGGCTACCATGGACACATTTAAACAGTCTATACAATTTGCACTTGTAACATGCTGAAGTCCCGAGTACCTAATCCAATGAAAATCACAAAAAGTATGTGAAAATCAAGTAATCTTATACCCCTGCCTTAGCTAGCCCTGTCCTGTCTACAACCAGAGCCTGTCGCCACCAGACAGCGGGTCAATTCTGACCAGGCTGTAGATGTTTTCAAGGGAATGTATGTTTGTGATGCAACTGTAGTTGCTGCTATAGTGACTGGGCAGCAGTTGCTTGTTTCTAGTTATGTGACTGTCTTGTGCCAAGCTGGACACTGGGTGACGAACTCTACTGCCCACAGGTTTCTGACCCGTTGACAGTTTTCTTACAAAACAAGATAGAGACAATTAACTGCGAACTGCACTCGAGTGCAACTGTATTGTGTTGGGATGGATCATGTTAATATTGGCTTGTGCCTACATACTAGAAAATACATATCCAAACTAATCATCTTCTTTTCATCAAATCAGGGAAGATTATTTCATCCATTTCTAACATCTCATTTGTTACATTACAGGAGCAGACGATAATCCATCATTCTGCATTTGGACCGATCACTTGCTGGAGCTATAAATTTGTGTCCGAACTTACATATATTTTCACAAAATAAGACTGAATGAAGTTTATTTCATCCATTCTAAATATGTCGTCTGCTACATGCTTGGAAGCAGACGAGAACCCACCTTTCTGCATCTGACTCTCCTGTTTCCGGCATTTGGCACGTCTGTTCTGGAACCATACCTGAAGGGGAAAATGCGCAGATTGACAAGCCATCCCTTGAAACACAATGCTTCACAGTTAATTTAATTTGCCTGTTTTGCTCATCGAGTTATTCCCCCTGATTCAATTACGCCGAGTTTTTCTTTCCCATTTCTTTGTGTACTTAATCCTTAAAACTTCTCCAACTTCATTCTGCTTATTAGGTTAAGCCATTTCGCACCAAATTTCTAACACCTTCTCTCATATCGATATGCAGAGGATAAGAGGAGTTTGCGATTTTTTTCCCGCTAAGAACCTTCGCCTCTTTTCAACGCCAGACCGACGTATTAGGCATTGTCTGTCTTTATTTAGACAATTTACGGCTAGTCACAGATTGGTCCTTAGGGCGACACCCCTTCTCGGCACGAGATGTGGCGAATTTGATAAGAATACGGAAAGTTTTGAGACATTTCGGGATAATCTGATTTCGGAATTACGAAATTTGAACCCTTAGGCGTTGACTGTTCGTACTGGGCAAACTGTGCGATGTAGGGTCTACGCTTTGCATCTGATTTTACAATTATCTGGGCAATTCTAACTCAATATTTCTCAATCATAAATTGGAAACTCAATTTACGATGAGGGCTATTGGTGAAGCCTTAATAAGGAATAACACATTCTGTATTTGCAAGTCTAATGAATCACTTGCTTAACTTCCAAAATCTGGCACTTTTCGCGGGAACGGAATATTCCAAAGCCGATGCGGTTAGATATTATGTTATGAACGATTTTTGTCAAACAGTAAAGGGATTAGCAAGACCTGCCTCGGGACATGACTGGTACAAACATGCATCAGAAAAGAGAGCTTTTGAGTCCAACACTCGTGCATTGCATCTTGGTTTCCAACTGTGGCATACATTTACATGTACTTAATTTGCATCTTAGCGTCAGTGAGAGTCCAATATATGGAACGGGATCTTACCTGCAATAATTTTGGTAAGTATTTGGACTAGATGAGGGATGGCAACCGCTTTAGTGTTAGAGTGAATAGGGTTTTATGCCACTCTTTTGTAATATTCAATTAGCATTTTGACCGGGGAGACAGTGCACTGGGTCAGACAAGGGTGTATACTACACCTGTGTTTATCAATAATATGAATGTTCGATTTTTGGTGTGTGTGTGTGTGTGTGTGTGTGTGTGTGTGTGTGTGTGTGTGTGTGAGAGAGAGAGAGTGCGTGTGCGTGTGTGTGTGTGTGTGTGTGTGTGTGTGTGTGTGTGTGCGTGTCCCCGTCCCCCGAATGCGCCACAATATGATTATGTTGAGTACCACTCCCAAAGCGAGCTAGGTCACAGGGGCTACGTTGATACTACCTTACACTCATTATACCTTACATTCATGATACCTAACACATATTATAACACTCGTTGTACCCAACACATATTATACCTATACATATTTATACCTTCAAAACTTATACCTAACACATATTAACCAAACACATCATACCTACACATATTACACAAGCACATTACACCTAACACATATTTATACCTAACACATATTATAACACTCGTTGTACCCAACACATATTATACCTATACATATTTATACCTTCAAAACTTATACCTAACACATATCATACCAAACACATACCTACACATATTACACAAGCACATTACACCTAACACATATTTATACCTAACACATATTATACATAGCATATTATACCTACACATATTACACAAACACATTACAGCTAACACATATTTATACCTAACACATTATACATAACATATTATACCTACACATATTACACAAACACATATTATACCTAACATTTATACCTAACATACCACACCATGTATTCCGTGAACACATACCCAGGGTCTCTCTTGTGTACATCATTCTTGGAGTTTTCTTGACAAATAAACTTCGGCATTTGCGATACCTCTTTTAATGGGTGGTGGCTGTAGCTAATTAATTCAAATGTGGGGCGGTCGGGTAACCTGGTGGTTAAAGCGTTCGCTCGTCACGCCGAAGACCCGGGTTCGATTCCCGACATGGGTACAATGTGTGAAGCCCATTTCTGGTGTCCCCCGCCGTGATATTGCTGGAATATTGCTAAAAGCGGCGTTAAATCAAACTCACTCACTCACTAATTCAAATGTACGCTCGTCACTGGTCGGTTTGGGTACATTATGTGAACTTGTGCTTCCAAATATATTAAGATATATTTAAACTGTTTTCCGGTACATCTGATTATTATTTAGAGCATTATATTCATATCATATATTCTATTTTTAATTTTACGTTGGCTCCTTGATTTTATCAATTTGCAAAACATCTGACCACATATTTCACCCATAATCGATGCAGTTTCAAAGTTAAAGAAGGATTTGAATTAATAGGCTTTCTGGTGGCTGATATTGACTACAGGTCTGATTAAACAGTAGACGTCATGCAAGAAATGACATCAAGGCATTGCTTTCAATGAAACGATATTTCATTCACCGAATGAAATAATATTTCAGAATGATTATGAAAATAATGATGATAGAATTCGCCAAGCAACTGGGTCAAACAAAATATATGCATTTCATGTGGCCTTACCGTATTTATTCATACACTATCGATCACGATGCATGTTGTCCAGTGAGTAATTATTTTGACATTGAATAGGGAATGAACAGCAACAATGTATGACTGTAAAACACCAAATCAATCAGATGTCCTTACACCTCCTTACAATTCTTTTTCAAACATTGTACATTAACTGCCGGGCAAAAGAAAGTATACACTTGAATAATGAATTTGACCAAAACATTATAAATCGAAACGCTACTCGGCTGAAAACGGTCGCGGAAACACGGTAAACTGAAGATCCAAAACACATCTGTGATACCCGTATGATTTGGTTGGTTGGTTTGTTGTTTAACGCCGCACTCAGCAATATTCCAGCTATATGACGGCGGTCTGTAAATAATCGAGTCTGGACCAGACAATCCAGTGATTAATATCATGAGCATCGATCCACGCAATCGGGACCGATGACATGCATCAACCAAGTCAGCGAGCCTGACCACCAGATCACGTTAGTGGCCTTTTACGACAAGCATAGTCGCCTTTTACGGCAAGCATGGGTTGCTGAAGACCTATTCTACCCCGGATCTTCACGGGTCGATACCCGTATGAAATACATCACCATCGAATAACCATTTCTTGTTTCTTTCATTCGGCCACCATCAAACATGGATGGATACTTTATCTAGCACGGCACTTTAGCAAAATATTCCCATGGATATTTCTTCAATAAAACAAAATCTTAGTCTCCAGTTTAACCTCTGCAGTCCGGACACCTTTTAATCCAGAAACCCCGACTTCCGGACAGTTACTCTTGGTAACATTTACTTAAAATTAAAAACATATCACCTGGTACCCAAATTCGTTAATACCGTGACTAGGAACTTTACAGTCCTCAATAGCTGGTTTCAATTATAAAAAAACTGTTATAACAATTTAAAAACCCGTATGAATCATATTCCTTCAGGAACCTCTCCCGAAAAAGCTTGTACCTTTTTGAGCCCCAGTAAGGTAGGCGTTTTATCTGATCTAGGAAACAACAACAAAGGCTCGATATACATCGTCCAGAAAGGCAACAGTAGAAACCTACGCCCCGAACAACGTGCTTCTTTGGTGTTTGACTACTAATTTGGCGCTAAATGACAAATTGAAATGGGATTGGAATTACAAAAGTGATAAATTAAATTACCCTTTTCCCAGCACAGGAGGCAAAGAAACACCAAAGAACTTTGCAGGCTGAGACTTTGATTTAATTTAAGGATCAAATCTCCGTAGACGATGTAACAGTACATTGAACCACCGTCATCCTTCGGGGGATGTTTTTAAATGTTGATTCTGGATAGAGATGTACAAGCTATTTTCAATGTAATTCGATATCTAGACCAATTCAACAAAACATCGCAAAAACTCTCTGCCGTTTCAATATTCATGCAGAGAAATAATTGCGTTTAATTTTCTTGTGAAAGATATTTTGATAAAACATTACTTGTTTAACACGCAAAACAGAAAGTAACAATTACATTAATTTGAAATAAACAGATCTAATATGATTTTGTTTTCTGAAGTAAGTTTTTTTTTTAAAAATGATCAGTCGATGTGAAACACACATCAAGGAAATCGTGAGTTTTTGTATCATTTACTATCCATTTTTTAGGTGTGACCTTACAAATAAGGTGGACTTTTTTGTTCCGTGAAGTGTCCTGGGAAACGGTAATTTCATTATAATGACATATTTGGTATAATTTAGTACATCTTCTCCAGCTAGACAATTACTTTATTATCTTGAGAAATACATAAACTGTTTTTATCAAAGAATCTGTTAACTTATGATGATATGTAACTGTGACATGTTTAGAACTATTTTCTTACATATCTGTAAGACTGTAGGATATTTCGGAAATTCCGCCTTTTCGAGTTCTTGCCATCCGAACTAAATCTCGTGAGCACAAACACGCGGTACTGGCGCCGCTTGCCCTGGATATAATCTGAACGCGCCACAAATTCTGTAGAGCGGCCCAACATGGAACCGCACACTCAATCCGGCACCGCTGAAACCAAGATGACGTTTAACCTAGGATTCCAAGACCAGACTCACGTTCTTCATTTTCGCCATAATTGGCCCAGAAACACAACGAGATTTGGACGTAAAGGAGCCAATTTGGGTAATTGCTGTTATAAACCGAACGCTGTAAGTTCAGAAGTCTAAAATTCTTGAAATCCCAAAGAAAATCTCTCTGATTTAAGGACATCACACTCCGCCACCAAACGACACCGTCTTGCCTGTCCGCCATTGTTTGGTCACGTGAAACCATGACAACCAAGCGACGTCGAGCGCGTGCGTCTGTGCCCCCCTGCATAGATTTCTTTACGTATCTGCACGAGTTCTATCAACAATGTACCGGGCGTATAATACTGATAAGAGCCCTAAAGAATTCTTCAAAATCCGTAATTGAATTTTGC